TAGAATTAAAATTACAAGGAAACTCTGCAAAGCATTAGCTGTTTAAGTAATAAAGGATTTCATCAGAAAGTGTCAGCAGTTCAGGTAGAAATGGAACCATTGCAATTTTTCTTTTCTCACTAACTTGGATTCTTTATCTTTGGTAATTCAACAATCTATGTATTCAGAAAAACAGAGAACATAAAGGTGTATGTAGAGTAAAGAAACATGAGCTTTAGCAATCTTAATATTTCCTCATAGAAATATATGTTTCCTCTCTCTCTCCCCCCCCCACCATTATTTTGAAAAACAACATTTTAGGGCTTCCTTTTCCTGACTTTGGAGAAGTGATATTGCACAGAGGGTTTTAGTTCTTCCCGTGCTTCAACCATACTGGCAGAACCATAATTACATTCCCTGCTTTTGTGCGTGGTTTGCATTTGACAGTGTGCTATTTTTAACCCCTAAAGAAATGTCCAAGTTTAACCATTTCAAACAGATAAAATGATCAAAAGGGATTTTTTTAAGACTGTATTCATTATTTAAATTGTTAAAATCATCATAAAATCACGGTTTTCATATATGCTCATTTAGGGCAGAGAACTGAGATCAAGATGAAATTGAGGAGACATCCCTCCTCAATACAGATTTGTAAGATTTCAAAAGCCACTTATATAAAATTTACAGGTACAAATAGGTCTTTGAGAAATGGCATGCTAACTCTCACTCTCACTGTGTTACACCAGCAGCTTCCATCTCTACCAACTCAAGTTCTTCAGCCTAAAGAAGTGGCTAGGATTTGTGAAAGGTCAATTAAAACAGGAAAAGTTTTGAAAAGGCCAGAAGGGGGTAGATTATAAGAAGGAAAGAGAAAACAAGTAAATTTATACATGGGCAATAGTTGCAGAAATGACAAAGTCCTACTTGACCACTGCTCTTGACTAAACTTGGCAGAATTGTGGATACAAGTTGGTAGTGTATTTCTCACGTTCTTTATGGCAGATAAGCAAGAAATAAAACACAATAATTTGAATGCCTATTGCAGTAGATAGAGTCCACAATTTAAACTCTAGTCTGCTTTATCCCATGCTATAGAACAGTGATGGTGAACCTTTTAGACACCTAGTGCCCAAACTGCACGCATGCGCATGCACATGCCAAAACTGAAAGGTGCACGCGTGTGGGCATGCATGGGCATGCATGGATTTGCAGCAAAGACTGAAATACCAGCTGGCGGCTGGGAGGTGGGGCATCCCAACACTGACAGCATGGCAAGAGGTAAGATCTTTTTCTTTTGTGATCTTCTGTTTCATCATTTGCAGGGAAACAGAAGCTCATGAAAGAAATGCCATGGAGATCTGACCTGGGGCGACAGTATGTGTAACAGCAGAGAGGGCTCTGCATGCCACCTCTTGGACACGTGCCATAGCTTTGCCACCACAGCTATAGAAATTAGTGATTACTCCGTGTGTTACTTGGTGGCCTTGGAAGCTGAGACAGGTGTAGAAAACAGCCTTCTTTTAATCTAATGGCTGCTAGTTCCAGTGTGTGAATGAATGGAATGAAATGAATGGATGAATGAAATGAAATGAAATGTGTACCTTGAACCAAGGCCAGAATTGTTAGACTCTCTAGCAACTGACTAAAACTGAAAATTGACCAAGCAAGATTCTTTAAAATATATTTAATAATATTTATTCAGCTCAAAGGGATGTACCTTATTTTTCAGAGTATAAGACGCACCAGAGTATAAGACGCACCAAGGTTTTGAAGAAGCAAAGGGAGGGAGGGAGGGAGGGAGAGAGAGAGAGAGAGAGAGAGAGAGAGAGAGAGAGAGAGAGAGAGAGAGAGAAATACAGTAGGTAGCTAGGGAGAGTGAGTAGTTAGGTAGTTAGGTAGATAAAGGGAGAGAGAGAGAGGGAGAGAGAGAGAGAGAGAGAGATACATAGGTAGGTAGGGAGAGAGAGGGTAGGTAGGTAGGTAGAGGGATAGAGAGAGAGGAATAGAGAGAGATAGAGAGAGAAATACAGGAGAGATAAATACAGTAGATAGGGAGAGATAGAGAGTAGGTAGGTAGAGGGGGAGAGAGAGAGAGAGAGAGAAATACAGTTGGTAGGTAGGGCGAGAGAGAGTAGGTAGGTAGGTAGGTAGATGTTTCCAGGTGAAATTTATCCATGTGCTGGAGAAGGAAATTGCTGACAAGACTTTGTTTCTGCTGGCACAGCACATGATCAATGTAATTCTCATCAACCACTCTATCTAAAGAACCTTCCGAAAGGGCAAAAAAAGTTTTTACATTCTACAAATCTCCCAAAAACAGGCCTTTTTTTTTGCGAAAACAGGGCCATTCCCCCCCCCCCCCAAAAGGCATGAGTAGCCTTTAGGAAGCTTATAGAGTGCTTCTGGCGGTGAGGGGGGAAAATGGGCCACTTTTTGCTCATTTCTGCCCTCCCCAGCCCCCACGAGCTCTCTAAAAGCCTCTATAAGGCTATGTATGACCATTTTGGTGAAGGGGCAGGACTTTGGGAGGCAAAAAATGCTGTATCCAGTGTATAAGATGCACCTAGATTTTCAACCTCTTTTTTGAGGCAAAAGGGTATGTCTTATACTCCGAAAAATGCAGTAGTTAGAATTCCAGCAATTTAGAATTGATCTGGCCTGATGTATCAGTACCTCTTATTTTCTTTCTAATAATCTTCCTGTAAAAGAAAAACTTGCACCTGACTTTTTGCATAAGTCTCCAGAACCATTGCCAACCTGAGAAGTGATTTTTGCAGACTCCTGTAATAATCAAGTTTTTGATTCGAAGGTCTGTTGAATACTTTTTTTAAAGCAGATGTACAGAATCTGAAGCTCCTGAGCTGCATGCGGCCCCCTGAAGCCTTGAGAAGATTTTCAGAATTTTTTTAAAACAAATACCACCAAATAGTACTTTTACATGTATCAGAAAGTGAGAAATAATTGATTACATAACTGTGGAACAATCCAATTAACCAGAGTTAATTTAAACTAAGTAGAACTATCTAATCAAATTAGAATTTGTTTGGCCTTATTAACAACTTTTTGAATGTAAGTTTTAAAGTATCTTTAAAAAAACAAGTACAACTACAGAGATAGAAAAAGTAGGTGCTTTCATTGTACAGACATGCCTGTCCTCCCACATATGCATTACATATTTCTAAATTTATTTAGAATATTTGTATGCTATATATTTGTATGCCAAAGACCAGGATGGCTCCCAGAAATACAATTAAAACAAAAGCACAATGTAATGCATTATTAAAACAAGAAGATGCTTTATGTGTACATTATATAAATATAAGCTATCAAAAGAGAGTTAAAACAGTAAAAGCCAGTGGTGCAATTCAAATAATTTAACAACCGGTTCTCTGTCCTAATGACCAGCTGGGGTAGGTGTGGCTCTATGGTCATGTGACTGGGTGGCCGTGGCAACTCAACATCCCTTCGATGAGTGCTTTGCATTAGCTGTTACAATGTAATAGGGGTTAACTGGAGAGGCAGGTTCTGTAAGCAGGGCAATAAAGATTAGGCTAGAAACAACACCAGAATGTTTCCTTCCTGCCTTCCTTACAGGATTAGCCCTGTAAAGTGGGAAAAAAACAAAATGAGATTTCTTCCAACAACCGGTTTTCTGAACTGCTTAGAAAGTTAACAACCAGTTCTCCTGAATTGGCTAAATCCCAACACTGGTTAAAGTCTAGGTAAAATCTTTTTATCTGTTTGAGTCCCTTTTCTGAAGTTTTGTGGGGTGTAATAACAAAAGGGGTTGTTTCAACTCCAATGACACTTTGTTTCAGAACTTGAATCCAAACATGAAAAAAAGAAACATAAATAACTGTAGAATTATTTTATTTTTACTGGACCAATATGCTGCTGCAGTCACAGCTAATTCTGGTGTCAAATGTAACTACTGGAGCTGCAGTGATCTAATCAGGCAAGACAGACTCTGTGGGATTAGGCAATCCTGCAAGATCCTTTATCTAAAGCTGTGTAAGGCTTTATATATCATTAAAAATATTTTTAATTGGCCTCAAAAAGCAACCAGCAACCACTGAAGTTCTGTCAAATGGATGTCGTCAAATCTCAAGAGATACTCACACTACCCATGCTGCTGGGTATTCTGGCCCAGCTGCAAGCTTTAGATTGTCTTTCGGGCTATTCACAGAGCATAATTTCTAAAACAATAATTCAAACTGGAGGCTACCAGCGTATGAGTCACAAAGCTAGGTTTTCTCCTCTGATCGGGGCTGTAGCCGGTTTAACAGTTTAACAATTGAAGTTAGCTGTTTTCCTTGCCATTGTTTTTCCATGATTGTCCAACCTCAATGGTAGATCCAAATTAAGAAGCTGATCTACATGGAGAAGTCAATCAATTATTGTCTGCACTTTGAATTTATTCATTTCACGTAATCAAGGCTGTTTAGGGTAATGGCTATTCAGCATGGGACATGATGCTATATATTACAGTGTAACTAACAAGTCCTGATCTTCTGGAATGTTTTATAGTGTTTCTAACGGTATCAACTGTTCAACATTAATACAGATTATTTCTAAAGTTGTTTGCAAACTGCCCTTGTTACTCATGAGTCTCAACCATGCATCACATTTCCTGAATTTGCAGGGATTGATGATTCCTGAGGCGCTTTCCAGCACAGTAATTTCTGCTGATAAGGGAAACTATATGGAGAGATTTGTGTGTTTGTTTACAGGATATAAATGGAGAACAATTGCACAATGGTGGAATATAATGGCAGAAAGCTTCTATAAAACGGTTAAGTTTTCTATAAAACAGTTAAGACCACACATTTTTCTGTAATCTCTCCTGTGAAGTCTTCCATTATCCAGTCCTAGATGCTTACTATCTTTATTGTAAACCACTAGGAAACATTGATAGCCAGCAATAAGCCAATCTAAATAATTAAATGAAAATTGAAATATAAGGCAACCTCTAGCCAAGGTTGATTATATTTACGTTCTTCCTATACTCTCCTTTTTAACAGCTTCTCACAGATGCCAACAGCTTCAGGGAAACATGACACCAATGATAACATTACCATATTCACTCGGATCCTTGATGGCCTATTGGATGGATACGATAACAGACTTCGCCCAGGTCTGGGAGGTATGATAAATAATACAATAATTTTTATTTTCTTTTTTAATTTATTTATGTCTCATCTTTATTATTTTTACAGATAACTTAAGGCAGCAATTGTATCCTTTCTCCTCCTATTTCACCACCACAACATCACTGAGACTTGACTTAGGCTGGGAGAGAATGAGCAAGGTCATCCAGCTGGCTTTCATGATTAAGATGGGAGCAGAACAAACGGACATTGTGCTTTCTAGCTTGATGCCTTAACCATTAGACCAAATTGGCTCTCAATTCACCATACTGAAATGCAATATGTAATAATAAAGCAAACACTAATTTGGTTGTGACGCATATTTATTTTATACCACAGCAACCTTCCTGCTGTCTATTCTGACCTAGGCTTCCCCAAAAAGCACAACGCAGATTCCTGGTCCTGGCAAAACCACTTTTACTAAACAAATGTGTATTCCCCCCCTTCACATTCAGCAAAGACCTGGTAAACAGTCTTTCAAAGGTGAATTTATGATCACAGACCTTATCTAGCTTGGAAAGCTGCCATGTAAATATTTTTCAAATGCCGTGCTGTGCAAGGAAAGACTTGGCACAGAGTTTCTGAGATTCATGGACTTCACACTCCTAAAATGAATGAACAAACGAATGAATTGTTTCCTGCAAAAGTCCACTCCCCTTTTACTCCTCTTTTATTTCCTATGGGAGGGGCCATTCATCATCTCCCTGTGGCTTTACTTCCAAGTTGACCCTGGTTTCTGAGCTGTTCTTTTCTTTTGGCAGCTCTGTGCATGTGCACATGGGAATAGGCTCCAGCTGTTCCTCTGCCTCACTGCTATCTAGCTCCGAAGGCAGCTGATAACTGTCAGACGCCTCCGATGCAGAGCCCTTTTCCCAGCCTTTCCCAGCCTCCAGGGCTGGTCCATGTCCTCCCCAACTTCCTCACTGTCCGAATCTGCTGCCAGCTTCACTGGCCGCTGGCACGCCACAACACTGTTTTTCTTGCAATAAGTTCAATGTTTCCTCCCGGAGACACAATTCCAGAAATGCTTTTTTTTTTTGCTTTGTGCTCTTGGTTGGTCCATTTTATCATTCAATGTATGTTTTTGTTGTTATGTTTTAATGTAAATATTATAACCATTCACTGTCTTTTAAATGAATGAGAGTATACCAATGTTTTGAACATCTAAATAATTGTAGGGACCAACATGGCAAGGCAAGGAATTAGTTAAAATATGTGCTGAGAAACCTTCCCAAAGGGTGGTTTCCTTTCTTTTATTTATTTTTAATCTTAAAGATTGTTTTATGTCTTCCAGTCAGAATTCATGCTTGTCATCTTGAGAACAATCACAGAGAGATGCCCAGTTGCTGCTTTCATCTTTCATGGGGACAGAGAGAAAGATTGTATTTAAAAGCAAGCTGTAGGGTCTGTGCTGTCATATGAAAATCACCTGCAGTCGCATTTAATATGAGGGCAATGGAAATGTAGTAACTTGTAAGAAATGCCCCAATTTTGGAAATTTTGGAACAAAGAGGACTTAAACCTCTTTTGGGGGACGCAGTGGCTAAGATGCTGTTTTTAAGATACATTTTGCATATCAATGTGGGTATCAAAACACACTATGTAAGAAAGCAACCCACTAATACTGTATAACTTTTCAAATTGACTTTAAAACAATATTTAGAGATTGATGAGACACGTCCCTCCTTTCCCCCCTTTCCCTCCCTCTTCCCCTTCCTCCTATCCCTCTCCCTCTGTGTGTGTGCATTACACACATGTATATTTGAATGTATATTTGATGCGGTGGCTAAGATGCTGAGCTTGTCAATCACAAAGGTCGGCAGTTTGGCAGTTCGAATCCCTACCGCCGCGTAATGGAGTGAGCTCCCGTTACCTGTCCCAGCTTCTGCCAACCTAGCAGTTTGAAAGCACATAAAAAATGTAAGTAGAAAAATAGGAACAACCTTCAGACCTTCAGCACTGGCTCTTTGGCTTTGAAGCAGAGATGAGCACTGCCCCCTAGAGTTGGGAATGACTAGCACATATGTGCGAGGGGAACCTTTACCTTTACCTTTTTAAACCCCTTTCAGCATGTCCCCGGCATAAATGCCACTAAATTTCTAGTAAACGAGTTTCTACAAATCACCAAATATTTTAGACTTCAGTAAACAGCTCCTTTAATGAGTAAATCAAGAAAACCAGTTTGGTGTAGTGGTTAAAACTGGATATTCTAGTCCTGTTTTAGGCATAAAACCAGCTAGATGACTTGGAACAATCATCCTCTCTCAGCCCTAAGGAGAAGGCAATGGCAACCACTTTTGAGAAGCCTTGCCAAGTTCAAACACTCAAAAGGAGTAAAAAAACTGACTTGAAGATGCAGAGAGAGAGAGAGAGAGAAAGAGAAAATGAGAATGAAATAAATTCATGCACAAAACATGTCAGAAAACTAGGCAGAAATCATTATTCTATTTTCTAGAATAATAAGACTGAACCTCTTGATACATGAAATAAATCATGTGCAGTGTGATTTGAAGGAGACCACCACTTCAGAAGAGAGGACAATGTAATATAACCCAAATATAAGATTTATTTACTGAACCTGATTCTCTCTCTTCTGTGGGTCTTTGTTTTGTTTTGCTTTTTTAAAAGAATCTCACCAGTATGGATGTGTGAATTTCCTTATTTCTGTTTGTATATGTGTGATTTTCTTCAAAATCTCTCTCCCAACCTTCACACATTTATACTAAAGTAAGATAAAACTGGAGTCAGTTTCATGATTTTGGAGGAAACAACAACATGTGCATTCTGACTCTTGAGTTTATTTTATATTTTACTGGCAACAGCGTGGGAGGACCACTTTATTGTATTACTTACAGAAAGAGACGAGGAAAAAAATACTTATAGAAATAGATAGAAAAAGACTTCCACAAATCTGACACAAATCTCAACCAGTCTCCTAACTGGACTCCAATTACAGATTCTAAAATAACAGGCCTTATAAGACAGCTGAAATCTGCATAGTCCCAGGTAATTACTTCAGGAGTAATAAAAGTTTATGCAATAATTTGGAATGGTGAAGCCTTGTACTTGCTTTTCTCTTGACCCATGTCTATCACTGTGGGAAAACACCAAAGCATTATAGTGACATCTATCTGTAAAATGATGGTCAGCTGTTGCCTACTAACCATCAGCCTTTTAAACAGAATAATTAAGTTCTCTGCTACATAATAAATTACCTGATTAGGTCAGTCTAGACTAAAGTGTATTTTGGCAGAGGAACAAACATGTTTTGGAGCTGGACATTCTATATCCTTGACCATGCCCTCATACAGCAACATCTGGCTGAAAAATATTAATCAAAGCCGGGCTTTGCATTATATAATCACATTTATTCATCATGTTTAGGGCTGCACTTCATCTTACTTCCAGGATAAGGTTGTGGCATAAACTCATAAATCCATAGGTAGCAGCTACTAATGCTAATGCATAAACCTGATGAGAATTCTAGAATAAAAGGTCTGTTGCTGTATGCAAGGTCACTGCACTAAAGAGATTCCAACTTGGAAAGAAGAGAGATGGGGATATATTTCCCCTCCAGTTGTTTAATTTGTATATTAACCTTCTTGTATCCAAACTAACTAATTTAGGGCACCCACAAAATGAGGCAATAGACATTTTGCAACTATATTATATGTAGACAGTGTAGTGTTTATACATCAAACCATCTATTGGGTTTAATTAAACCTAGTGGTCGAGTCAATATCCCCTTGAGGTTGTACTTGAGACCAGCTCCTCCAAAACCAAGATTTTAATCTTGGAAAAGCAACCTTAAGTACAGGCCCAGTGGTTAAAAGACCAGCTTCTACACCAGGTATTTTTCTCTCTCCAAATGATAGCAGCATTAAAACTTGATTTGGTCAAAACACATATGCAGCTAATGTGGCCTTAAATGTTCCTCAAGAAGTATTAAAGAGAGAGGCAGGCTTGATCAAAATTGAGAAAGCTGAATGGATTTGCATTGATGTATAATGCTTGACTGTAATGCTCTTTTCAGGAGGTCTGGCTTCTTTGCTTAATGGGGCAATTGTGAATCTGTAGGAAACAAGACAATTCTGCAAAAACGGCAGTGTCTTCTTACATTGCATTTTTATAAGAATGCAGGTGTTCACCTTATAAATATTTTGCCTTATAACTCTACTCATCTTATAGCTATACTATTTAAAAAGTATCCATGCAGTTCTCTTTGTTCTATGTTTGCTTCTATTATAAAAGCAGTTTCTATGAACATGGCCAAATTTTACTATCTTGTTTATAAAAACAAGCATATTTTGATTGCACGTACAATCCTGCCATAAACTATGTAGTGCTATCTTGTTTCCTCTGCTGTCAATTTGCTGAATTGCAGTCATTGGCCATGAGATGCACCCAAATTATATCACTTATCTATCATGAGAGGTGTGCTTTTCTCATGACTTGTAGCAGATTCCTTTGAAAACGTACATTTAAAATTATAGTTTTCTTCAGAATCAAGTATGTTTATAATCCAGAAATAAAAATATTAGGAATTTTCCTGGGAAAAAAATAGAATATGTCAGTCTGTTTCTAATTAACATTGTTGTGTGTGTGTGTGTGCCTTTCAGTCATTATTTGACTCCTGGTGCCTGCCTGGACAGGTCCCTGAAGTTTTCTAGGCAAGATTTCGGAAGTGGTTTGCCATTGCCTGCTTCTTCCTAGGACTGAGAGTCTGTGATTGATCCAAGGTTAATCAGCTGGCTTCATGGCAAAATGAGAACTTACCATCTCCTGGTTTCTAGCTTGAATCCTTAACCATTGCAATAAACTGGCTCCTAATCAATTAATTAAAATATTTAAAATTAACATTAGGACTCTTCAAAATTGAAAAATGATATGTCAATTAAGTATAATATATGATAGTGGCAATATGATATCAGGTAGTTTTTTTTAAAAAACTGTGGGAAAATACTATAAATCTCTCAACATTAAGAATAATATAAATATTTTCAAAGTTTCAAAAGATTTTCTTTCATCTTATGAAAATTATGGGGTAAAATATGGAAGTACATCTGGGCATTTGCCAGGAATCAAAAACTGAATTGACAGTACAAAATCAATCAGTCAAGTCTCCTAAGTCATATTTGAATATGTTTTTCCTTAAATAGGGAGGGGCATTTGGGGGTGGGAAGGGACCCAAAAATGTCAAGATGGCAATTGCACAGTTGAAGCTCTGCTGCCTTTTTTTAATACATAATTACTATTGAAGGCTATTTGTATCCCATGCATGCTGCACTTCAAAAGGAGTGTGGCCATGGTTACCTATTTATGTCAACCATCTTGACTATTTTTGATCCCCACTCTGCAGAAGTCCTATTAATCAGCTCATGTAACCCAGCTGATGTTTTCTGAAAGAAGAATAAAGGAGGTTAACTTTAAGTTGTGCTGAAAAATAAGTCTACTTGATTGGTTAAACAATCAGCATTGGTTCTTGGCAAAACAATATATGCTGTGGCAAATGCAGCTACCTTGTGCAGTTACAGATATTTAGTATTCATACCTTGTAGGCCAAGCTAAGTCTTGTAACAGATGTAAGCTATGGTATATTACTTATCCCCAGTGATTTGTTCTTCTTCCAGTGATTCATCTTCCCCTGGGAATGTTCCCTTTGTTTTATTTTTCTTTGTATGCTTACGTGTATTATTATATAATGTAACATGTATCCAGGAGCTGTGATAGTGCAGTGGTTAAAATACAGTATTGCAGGCTCTGCCCATAGCCAGGAGTTTGATCCTGACCAGCTCAAGGTTGACTCAGCCTTCCATCCTTCCAAGGTCTGTAAAATCAGGAGTCAGATTGTTAGGGGAAATATGCTGATTCTGTAAACCACTCACAGATTGCTATAAAGCACTATGGAACAGGATATAAGCTTAATTACTATTGTTATGTAATGTTGTATGTGGAATCCCAACAGGCAGCATATTGCCCTGTTAATTGAAACTTATTTTAGACACTTAGAAATAACTTTTGCTTGGATCCAAACTTGCACATACTTTATATATTTCTACTTTCCCTTGGGCTCATCTACTGCAATATATGTAGCACTGACAAAAATTTTGTGGTATATTTTATATAGAAGTGATGAATGATTATTGTATTTCTCAGAATTAAGATTGACAACGTTTTCCAGTTTTTTGGCCAATATATCTACCAGAATTAAAGTTGCTAAAATCTCGTGGTGTTTTGAGTGAGATTGTTGAAATACATTTTTCTTACATGACATTGAGATGTTGGTGTTATCACTTGATATTTATTTTAAATGTTTTAAGTTATTTGGGGGAGATTAGTGATGCGTTTTAGAGATGTAGCAGGCATATTGCCACTTTTTGGCCCAGGGTTTGATTTTGCACCTTAATTGTTTGATATGGAAGTCAGGGGGATGAAAGCTCTTTCATATTTGAGTCCCAGGGAATACTCTTAGTGCTGCATAAGTTCTGTTATCAAGAACAAAGTTAAGACAGCTCTCTCACTCACCTACTAATACTGCAGCTGTTGATTTACCGCATGGGTTTTTTTTCCAATAGAGAGAATAACGGAGGTGAAAACAGACATCTATGTCACCAGTTTCGGTCCAGTTTCTGACACTGAAATGGTAGGTTGGACTGCACAGATTCTAAGCTTCTCCTGTTATTGTTGCTTGGATAATTTAAGAAGTGGATCCTTGTGTAATTCTCTCTTTTTTTATACCAGGAATATACTATTGATGTTTTTTTCCGACAAAGCTGGAAAGATGAAAGGCTTCGATTTAAAGGCCCAATGCAACGTCTCCCTCTTAATAATCTTCTGGCCAGTAAGATTTGGACCCCAGATACATTTTTCCACAATGGCAAAAAATCCATTGCCCATAACATGACCACTCCCAACAAGCTGCTGCGTCTTGAGGATGATGGAACCTTGCTGTACACAATGAGGTGAGCCTTATGACAGCTGACATACTTTGAATCTCATTCTACATTCTTCATAAAAGCAGGAAAAACCCTCACACCTACATAGGAGAATGTCCAAAATCAGTGGAAATCACCTTCACACTTTTTGGTTAGCAACTAATGCACAATGTTGAACAAAACTGTTTTTAATGAAGCCCTTCCCTTTCCCTACAATATTCACCATGGATTTACGGCCTATACTAAAGAGTTTAATTTGCCCTTGTTTTTGTACATTTTTGTTAGTTGAAATGATTCAAATAACTTTAATTTAGGATGATTCAAATAACTTTAATTAAATTTAATCAATTAGAACACAAGAAGTTGAAGATGTGGATGAATAGGTGTTTGAGCAGATATATTTTTCAGCTCATGGTGGTTCTGGATTTTAAATATTAAATATTAACAACTGTCAACAGTTCTATTATTTAATAGTAAAAGGTAAAGGTTTCACTGTCAGTCATGTCCCACTGTAGGACATAGTGCTCATCTCTGTTTCTTGGCCGATGGAGTCAATGTTGTCCGAAGACAATTTCCATGGTCATGTGGCCAGCGTGGCTATATGCCAAAGGCTCACAGAACACTGTTACCTTCCCACTGAAGTGGTACCTATTAATCTACTCGCATTTCCATGCTTTCAAACTGCTCGGTGGGCAGGAGCTGGGACAAGTAACAGGAACTCACCCCTTTGCATGGCTTCAGGTCTCAAACCTGCACATAATAGTAATTTAATACTATTAGTAAAAATAAGTGAAACGGGAAAAAAATAAAATGAAAAAAGTAGGTACAGAAAAGAAAGGGAAAAAAGGAGAAAAATTAGACAAATGGAAAAGAAAGAAAACATACAAATAAAGTTAAAAAAAGAAAATATATAAAAAAGGACTTCACATCTTTATGGGATATATTTATATTTAGTAATATATTACATTCTTCTAAAATACAATCTTCCCATATCTCATCTCTTATCTATAAAATCCTTAAAGCATCATCATTTCTGAACCAATGTCAGCAAAAGTCCATTAATAGTGATAACACCATTTCTATTTCAACCTTGATCAAATAAACCAACTTGATTTTACTTCTGACCATCTTGATCTTTAGTCTCTCCAAATAATATTGTAGAACTTAATTTCTTTTCATATATACTTGTCCCTTCTTAAAAAATTCTTCCCAGCTTTAACAGGATTCTTTAGTAAATCCAATATGGGAAAATTGTCCCAGTCACTGACTTAATAATTAAAGACAGTTTTAATAACTAAAAAATATATACAAACAACAAAAATCAACCAGTGTTTTGTGTGTCCAATCTAACACCTTTTATTTCATTATTCTTGTAGCCTATCATTTTTAAATTCAGTCTTTATAATTTGTTTTAAAATAATATAATAATTTTATAATGAAAGATTAATTTAATTAATTTATAATTGAATAATAACACAGATGCATATTTAAATAAAGTCAGACTTTATTTAGGAAAATGAGTTTCTCCTCCATGACATATTTTAGACATAGTCTATCTATAAAGGTGGATACTATTAAAATTAATTTCTGGATTCATTTTCCAAAAATAACATTCAATATACCCAATGTGAAAATATTTTATTTTGTTCTGTATTTGTAAGTCTAGTTTGAATGATATCCCCTTTAATTGTAATCTTTAATTCTCTTCAGTTCCCTCTAGTGTCCAATTTTTAAACTCTTTATCGAATTATTTTTTAAAAACTAAATAAAAACAATAGCATTTTTCCATTTGAAGGATTCTTTATAATTAATTCCAAATTTTTTTTACAAATTTACTTGTACTCTTACTCCATTTATAGCTTTCTAAAATCAAAGTTTTAATTACTATTTCTCCCATGTATTAATTTTTAAAAAGTTATTAAACATGTAGTTAAAAAGTATTTTGCTATGGATTGAAGGAAGCTTACCCAGTGCTATAAAATTTTCTCCTTTGGAAGAATCTTAATCAAACATTTTAAAATGTATATTCTCAGTTTCTTGCAATGTACCCACCTATTTCCTATGCTTAGAATTAGGACTAGTCTGACTATATTGGTCAGTGGTGAGTTGCAAATACTTTTACTACTGTAATACTCTGCACATTACTACTGCATGCGCAGAAGTGTCCATGCGGGTGGGCAGGGACTCCCACCGCCACTACTACCGGGAGCAACCCACCACTGATATTGGTGCTTTTAATCTTATTTGACTTGTTGGGGGACACTAGGTGTTGAAGTCTACACATCTTACAGTTTCCAAGGTTGAGGAACATGTTCTAGACGGTTTACATTAATGCACTTTGTAACTTGTTTGACTTTTCAAAAGAAAAAAAGGAATCAAATTTCTGCTTGATATTATGGGCTTTCAACCTAGTAGTTTGCTCTATTAAGCTTTGGAAGAGCCATCTTCGAACTGAGGTTTCAGCATACCTTCTATTTCTACCAGCGATTTCATAGGTAGTTTGAACAGTTATTCCAGATAATTATTTAACCAACATGTCTGATGTACTGGAAACACTTTTGTTAGCAAGATGTAATACTTTGCCTTCTTTCTTTCTTTCTTTCTTTCTTTCTTTCTTTCTTTCTTTCTTTCTTTCTTTCTTTCTTTCTTTCTTTCTTTCTTTCTTTTATGTGTCACAATTAGAGGTCTCACAGAGCAATTCTATGTTAGCAGAAGTGAGATGATGCACT